GCTGCCGGGGCCGGGGGCCGCCCTCTGCAGAGCCCCGGGAGCGGCCTCAAGGACAGCCTTGCCCGGGGTGTTCAGTGAGGGCCGGGGCCTTTGGAGAAGAGCCTCCCCAGAGGGGTGACGGGCGCTGGGCCCCCGCCTGCCCCCCGCTCGAGCGCCAGCAGGCGCCCTGCCCCCTCGGCCTCCCAGAGGACAGGAGCCGCGGCCGCACGGGGCCTGTGGGAGCGTCACGCGGCAGGACCGCCACAGCTGTCCCCCAGCAAAGGGCTCCTGGGAGCCCCTCAGCCGGGCGAGGCGGCTGTGGCAGCCCCTGGCTGCGGGCAGCTGCTCGGCCGCAGCCGGCCTCTGCGCCCTGCCGTGTCCCCGCCCCCCAGGGCCCCCCCTGAAGTGATCCACACCCCGGGGTCTCTGTCTCGGGAGCGCCTGGCCTTTCCTCCGCCTCAGACGCCGGTTCACTTTCTCCAGAGAGAAGGCAGGTGGTGGGACCGGGCTGGTGACAGGCTGTGTGCGTCTGTCGAGAGAACCACCGTCCCCCTGCGGGCCGGGGCAGCCCCAGCGGGAAGAGCGGCGAGGAGTGAGGGGGGCCAAGTATCGGCCTATCGACGCGCTGGGGAAGCCGGGCGGCCGGCAGGTCAGGGTCATCCCGAAGGGCAGCCTCGCCAGAGCTGACAGCGGCCGTATTGAGCGGGTCGGGTAACAGGAGAACGGGGTGGACACTGCTAAGCCGGCCAGGGGCCCTGGGGGCCGAGCGGGAGGGGCCTGGCGCACCGCCAGCTCTCTGGTGAGGCCGTCGGATCTGCCCGAGCCCCTCGCCCAGACGAGGGTGGGGCGCGCGCGTCCCCCCCGCAAGGCTCCCTCGCCCGAGTGTGGCGGTGCCCAGGCAGCTTCAGGGCGGACTCGGTTTCCCGGCTGCAGTGGGCAGGGAGGCCTCCTGCCGCCGGCAGTGGGCCGGAACAGCCACTCGGGAGCCGCAGAGAAGCAGCTTCCAGACCCGCAGCCCGTCTTCCCCGCGCTCCGGCCCACGCCTGCCTCTGGGAAGGCCATCAGCCGCCTCGGTGTCGGGGGCCGCACACTCAGGAGCCCTCGCCTGCCCCGCTTTCCCGCCCACCCCCGCGCTGTGGCCTGGCCCTTCCCGCAGCCCCGGGAAGTGCTCAGAGCCACGGCCGGCTGCCCTCTTCAGGGGTCTGCGTCGTGAAGGGCGGCCGGCCTCTGTGTGGCGCTCGCCCGCGCTCCCCCCGCTCGGGCCGCACGTAGCGTCTCCTGGGCAGAAAGGGACACGTGCCCACAGTGCCCTGGCCGGCCGAGGACCGCGGCTGCGGGGCCCCACAGCCGTCCTCGGGTCTGAGAGGGCCGGCGGAGCCCCTGGCCACCCCGGCAGGCCCGCGGGCCCCCGTGGGCCTGTGCCACAGGGACTGGGCAGGAGCCGCCGGCAGCACGGTGGCAGCACCCGGCCAGGACGGCCCCTGCTCCGCTGTCCCCACTCTGCCTGCGGCGGCCGCCTCAGCTGGAAGGGAAGTGGGTGGCGCCTGTGTTTGCTCGGGGCCCAGATGTCTTCGGATGTGTCTCTCCGCTGCCTTGCTGTTCCTGCAGAAAATAGCCTCGCACCAAGTGGGTACAGAACTATTCAGGTACCTTGGGCTTGGACGTCCCTGGCAGCC